AACAAACATGGCTTTTGAAGTGGTCGCCTTGAGAAAGCGTAGTACGGTTACGATGGCGTGGACTGTTAACATACCTACAACATGAATACAGCTACAGAGGTTTGATGTCAATCCTAACCTCTGTGGTTATAGTACCAGTTGGGAATGGGCTGTCTCCGAGACAGGATTAGGGTGCGATGGGTCTTGAGTTAATGACTGTTGAAATATCAAAGAGATTAACAAGCGAGTGAGCAGTGACGGGGCAAGAGATGCCGAGCCACACGAGACCACCAAGGGAACCTGGAAGGACCAGCCGGAGGGACAGACCCTTCCTCTAGAGCCAACGGAGAAAGTCTTCCTCGAAGCCAACTTTCTGAGTTGGACTTTTGGTCCCTAAGAAGTGAGAAAATAGGGCTCTGTTGCTAAAGCCATCCAGCCACACGCAGTCTTTCTGGGGCAGCAGCATTAGATGACTGAGAGACAGGCATTTTCCCTGCTCGGTTTTTAAGCTGCTTCATTCTTTAGAAGATGACTTTATTTGGGGTGGGGAAAAACAGCTTCAGACTCTGATGGCTGTTTGACACCTATGGCCAATGATCAAGCTTGGAAAGTGGTATTTTTTGGATGAAGAGGTTGGTCAGTTATAATGACACAAGTTTCTTTGAGTGATCAACTGGACCTCAATCAGCTGCAAAATATGGAAGAATCCCCCTTGAAAGAAGATGACTATTTGACTATTTTATGGACGGGACTTCTGAGCTGAATCCTGACGTGTAAAAAGGAATTCCCATCACAATGAAGAGTCCAGCCTCTCCCTTAGTAGTCGCCACTTGAATTTTTCAATGAAGAAAATGGCTAGAACAGAAGCAACAAAGCCCACATGGAAGAAGCACACCAACCTGTGGGATCACGAGGTGTCGAAGGGATCAGGTATCAGGCATCATCAGAAGAAAAAAGCATATCATTGTGAATGAGTTGGGGGGGAGGGTGATGAGTGGAGACCCAAAGCTCATTTGTAAGTCACTGGACATCCCCAGAAGGGTCTCAGGGAGAAGACGAGCCAGTCAGCGTGCAGTGTAGCAACAATGAAACATACAACTTTCCTCTAGTTCCTAAATCCTTCCTCCCGCCCTCGCCCGCCCCCCCCACTATCATGATCCCAATTCTAACTTACAAATCTGGCTAGACCAGAGGATGTACACTGGTACAGATGGGAGCTGGAAACACAGGGAGTCCAGGGCGGATGATCCCTTCAGGACCAGTGGTGCGAGTGGCGATACAGGGAGGGTGGAGGGAGGGTGGGCTGGAAGGGGGAACCCATTATAAGGATCTACGTATGACCTCCTCCCTGGGGGACAGATGGCAGAGGAGTGGGTGAATAGAGACTTCGGACAGTGCAAGATATAACAAAGTAATAATTTGTAAATTATAAGAATTCATGGGGGAGGGGGAGCAGGGAGGGAGGGGAAAAATGAGGAGCTGATGCCAGGGGCTTGGGTGGAGAGCAAATGTTTTGAGAATGATGAGGGCAATGAATGTACAAATGTGCTTTGCACAACTGATGTATGTATGGGTGGTGATAAGAGTTGTATGAGCCCCTAATAAAATGATTAAAAAAGAAAAAAAAGGCTGGAACATGACATGGCCCCACACAAGAATCTTTACCTCCTTCGTCAAGTGTGTCACCAGTCATTCCAAAGTATGATAGCACTCACTGTGAACTCAGTGCCATCGAGTCAATGCTGACCCTTAGTGACCCTACTGGACAAGGCAGAACTGCCCCTGTGAGTTTCCGAGACCATCACTCTTTACAGTAATAGAAAGCCCTTTCTTTCTCCCAAGGAGCGGCTGGTGGTTCTGAACTGCTGGCTTTGCAGTTAGCAGCCCAGCATGTCTCTCCGACGCACCCAGGGCTCCCATGGGATAGTTCTCGTGCTATTAAGAAGCCATGCTGGCCGACAACTCCATTATCTCTGACACAGGGAGAGTTGTGAGAGTCAGATCGCAATGAGACTTCTTCCAGGGCTCAAAAGTTTCCCGGTCTCCCCATTCTCCTCTCGCTCATATTAGTGGCAAATATCTGAGCTTAACTTCTCCTCGGACAGGCTTCTGCCTTCCAAAGATGCCGGCTCCCACAGGTCTTCCTGGAGCACTATCAAGGGCTGGATCGATTGGAATTCCTGTTGAACAATAGATGTCATTCCCATAACAAAATCTAAGCCTGGGAATTTTTCCAGTCATTATTTGTTTGACTCATTTCCAGCTAGAGGAAAACACATCCTCTGACATATCTGTTCTTCAAATGTTTCCGACATCGACATCGTAAGGTAAGATGGTCAATGTTAAGGGATTCCTAAAAAGAATTATAGTCAACAATGAAAATGTGATTTTATCATGTTTTATTTAACAAAAACACAAAAATGGGGATGTTATTCTGTGCAAACAAGAAACCACGTGGGGTCTCGTGAGCAAAATATCCCGTGGTTCCCAGAACTGAAGGTATGGGAGTGCTGTAGGGAGGAGCCCAGGTGGTGTTATGGGTTACAAGTTGTGTCGCTAACCGTTACAAGGTCAGAGATTCGAAACCGCCAGCCACTCTGAAGGAGAAAGATGAGGCTCTCGACTCCCATAAAGAGCTGCAGTCTTGGAAATCCACAGAGGCAGACTGACCTTGTTCTCAACCTTCCTCACGCTGTGACCCTTTCATACAGTGCCTCATGTTGTGGTGACGACCCCCTCCATAAAATTATTTTGTTGCTACTTCCTAACTGTCATTTTGCTACTGTTATGAATAGGGTGACCCCTGTGAAAGGGTCATTCGACCCCCAAAGGGGTCGCGACCCACAGGTTGAGAACCACTGTGCTAGAGTCAGAACTCACTCAATGGCAGTGAGTTTGCAGTTAGGGGGCAAGTCTTTTATTCTCTTAGACTTCTCGGAACTTGGATTTCCTCCCACACCTCCCCGACTTCGAACCCACCTCCGTCCCTACCCAGAGGGCTGGCCATCAAGTCATGTGCCCCCAGAAAATTCCCTGGAAATGCCTCTTACTTCTACAGTGGGTTTGGGGAGGGCAGTGACTCAGATGATGTGTTCTTTTCTGAGGATTCCTGGTTGGGGTCATTTGGAAGACAGCGGGGAACAGAATGCTCCCCTGGATGGACGTGGTTTGAGCTGGAAGGGCCTCGTGTCCCTCTCTTTGCAGACATCTCCTGCAATGGAACGCTGGTGGCCAGGGTGCGGGAGAAGGAAGAGTTTGATACCCTGTTTCCCCGAAAATAAGGCAGTGTCAAAAAAAAAAAAAAAAGACAGTGTCTTATATTAATTTTTGCTCCCAAAGATTCGCTAGGTCTTATTTTCAGGGGAGGTCTTGTTTTTCCATGAAGAAGAATACGGTACACATTTATTGTTTATTGTTTTATTAAAAGAGACCTCGCACTTCCTGTCTGCTCCGGCTGCGCTGTGGCCAACAGTGAGCTGCGCCGCGGCGCCCGCTGCTATGGTCCAGAGTTACAGTAGCTTCGGGGAGCCTTATTTTCAGGGACGTCTTATTTGCGGGGGGTGCCTTATATTTCAGCAAGAGACAAAACTGTAAGTAGGTCTTATTTTGGGGGGATGTCTTACTTTTGGGGAAGCAGGGCAGTAGAAAAGTAGGTGACATACCAAGAAGGGAGTAATAATAGAAAGCGGGATGCTGACCTGAGGTTGTCCCTCCTCTAATTGCGGTTCCATTTAAAAAAAAATCATTTTATTGAGGGCTCAACCAACTCTTATCACAATCCATACAGCCATCCTTTGTGTCAAGCACAATTTTACATTTGTTGCCATCATCATTCTCAAAACATTTGCTTTCTACTTGAGCCCTTGGTATCAGCTCCTCATTTCCCCCCTCCCTCCCCACTCCCTCCTTCACGAACCCTTGATAATTTATAAATTATTTTTTCATGTCTTACACTTTCTGATGAAAAGACACAGTTTTATCGAACTCTTTTCATGTAATAATTGCCTGGCTCTATTTGATGTAGCTGCATCTTGATGTAAAAAAATATGTTAGTTCGCTCCAACAGGAAATTAAAATTTTGCTGCATTTTTATCATGTAGGACCACGCATGATAGCATATGAACTGTTGAAATATGAACAAAGGACAGGTGTTTGTATTGAGTCCTTAGAAACAGCTTCGTAGACACCAGGGCATTTGTCTAGAATTTAAAAGACAAAGACAGAGCCCAAGCGCACTGTGGATTCAGCTTCGAGTGAGCCGTATAAGGGCGTAGAACTGCTCCTACGGACCTGGATTTTGGAAGCAGACTGCTGTCGTTCTCCTGCAGCTCTGACTCTCTCTGCCACCAGGTCGGTTCCAACTCACAGCGACCTTATAGGACAGGTCGAACGGCCCCTGTGGGTTTCCAAGCCTGTAACTCTTGACACGAGTAGGGAGCCAAAAGGAGTTACAGTCTCAGAAACGCAGGGCTCTTCTACCCTGTCTTGTAGGGTCACTGTGAGTGAGCGTCGGCTCCATGGCAGTGAGTTGGTTTGGGCGGTTGGTTTATATGCGTGACAAGAAAAGGAATTGTTTTAGCACTCAGCCAAGAAGAACGACAAAGCCTAACTGAGTTCACACGGGGAAATTGGGGAGTTAGAACTGCTTGTTAGAGGCATCTATTCTACTCATATTGTGATATTGGGGAAAGAGAGCAACGTTTCCCTCATCAATTCACAGTTGAAGAGGTGCATTAACTTTGGACACTTACACATGTCACGTTAGAGGAATCTCTAGATCGTCCCATAAGGGTCCCGCTAGCAGCCCCTCCTTTCGGCTGCAGGAAGCTGCGGGAGAGGCTGTGTCTCTTACCTAGTCTTAAAGGCTCATGTTTCTGCTCCATTGATGAAGTAAATAAAAATAGAGCCAGGGTTCGTGAGCAAATCCCAAGTTTAAAAATAAAAGCGCTATCTTTCTTGCCCCCCAACATTCTAATATTCAACTGTTTCTCTGTATTGAAGCATGTACAAGTGAGTCTGACCTGGAAGTACTTCTGACAGGGACCACTGGGCGTCAGCAGGGGTGCAGCAAATCGGTTACGATGTGAAATCTGCAAAGAGGGGTCATTTGAGAAATTAAAACCCCAGATAATAAAGCATAAAAGGAAACACAACAACAACATAGCACAGTTGTTTAAGTCCTTTCAGAGCTCCTGAAGAATTTAAACCACATTGTGGTAAACACTGTCCAAAATGTTACTTCTTTATACTTGCCCACACTACAGTGAACATTTTAACTGTGATTCATACATCACCACCTCTCTCATAAAGCAGTTCTTGCGAACGTCTCTGATGCCGGCTTACTCAACTACCTGATGCCATCATGTACAATTTGGGCTTTTTTTTATTTCACAAGAATTAAAACCTTCTGTTGATTAAAAAATTACTACAAGCATAGTAAAGAAAACGGACTGGCTCTCTTTCTGGAGAAAGCCTCTAGAAACAAGAATATTATGAACAGACAGGAAATGATGAATAAATAGGAAAACTAGGAAACAAACAGAAAAATAGGGTGGAGCGAGTCCCGAAAGAAACACAAATGTCTGATAAACACGGGGGTGGGGGGGAGGGAACACCACAACAAACACCTTACTCAGAACTAAAGAACATGCCAGATGAATTAGCCATGGCAGACTGCACACTGAGCTGATACCACAGTCTAAGGCAGCACCGTGGAGCTGGGGATTTTCAAACCTTGAGGGTAGGGATAAACGCTGTCCCATCTCATTGGCGCGGCCTTCAGAAATCCCTAAGCAAGTGAACATTGTGCAGACACTCTGAGACCCCGCCACCCACGTCAGGAAGATTTTGTTCCCAGAAGCACTCAATCGGACACTCCTCGGTGTCCTGAACCTGATGGAGCGAATGCTGAGAAATACACTTTATATATTTTAATTCATCTCCTTTCATCTCATTTCCTTTCTACTTTTTGTAGCCCCCTCATATAATACTGAATTCTATACGGATACATTGGATTTTTTTTGCTCGTTTGTTTTTTAAACTTCTGGAATCGTAAACACGAAGGCTTAACCTACTTCCATCAAGCTACTTCCAACTCAAAGTGATCTTACAGGATCGCGTAAAACTGCCCCATTGAGTTTCGAAGGCTGATATTTGTGCAGAAGCAGACTGCCATACCTCTTCCTTCTACAGAACTGGTGGGTTCCCAAGGATGATCTGTTAGCTAGAGAGGCGGAGCCCCTCTGCCGCCAGGGCTCCTCTTCTGGAAGAATTTCAAGCACAGCTCACTCACACCATCATCTGGCAGCAGCGGAGAGTCTGAGGAGGCTACTGCAGTGATGCTGAATGGGCCAAGAGGCAAGGACTAAGGTAGGAGGCCCATTGGAGAGCTGGAGATGGGGTCTGGATGGTAGCTGGTCATTCATTCCAAAAGATGGGGTGTGCTGGTTTTATCAACTTGATGCACCTCTGCAGCGGTATGGGTCCAGTCCAACATCAATCTGGATACGGCTAAGGGCAGCTCCTTGGGGTGTGGCCTCATTGTAAGAGAAGCTGTGGAGAACTTCCCATTCTCTTGCGGCTCTTTGCCCTCCTGCTTGCCTGGATTCTGCATGCAGAGGTGTATGCAGCCTGCTGAGCCTGGGAGCTGCATGCCCTGCCACGCTCCTGCCGACACCTTGGATCCACTAGCCTCTGCACCCACCAGCCTGTGATCTCCCCAACTTCCACTTCATCTTCCTGCCTCATTGGTGGGCAGCTGCATGAGTCTGGAATGGGCTCCAGCTAACGCCTGATCCATGGACTTGAGGTGAACTGGGCAGGGCCATTGCCTTGATCTAAATTTGGTTCTTGATAGCAAGTTATTTCTTCCACACACATATCAGTGTGAGACGTAACTCTATGAGTGCACCTGGTTTTGCTTCTCTAGAAAACTCAGCGTGAACACACGGTGTCAGGCGTTTTCAGGGAGAAGGACCTAGGGTCACTGAGCATGAACTCTTTGCTTAGCAGTCAAGTACATTTCCACTGTGCCACCAGGGTGCCTATTAACCATTTAAACCACACCAGACTCAGGGCCGTCGAGTCGACGCTGTCTCGTAGTGACCCTAGGGAACGGGGTAAAACTGCCCCTGAGGGTTTCCGAGACAGTCACCGTTTATGGGGGTAGAAAGCCTCAACTTTCTCCTGCAGAGTGGCTGGTGGTTTTGAACTGCCAACCTTGTGGATCGCAGCCTAACTCTAACCACAGTGTCATCCACGTACCTGGTGGTGTAGAACTACTCTTGAGGATCATTCTTCTGGGATCTCCTAGACTTACCACTTCCAGGATTTAAGAATACACAGAGGAGACAACAAGAACCACCACTACTGCTCTCGCTAATTCCAGTATCTTACGCAAAAACACTTGATTTTAATTTGGGACTGTAGTTGTTTGTCTAACTCCAGTCAACGACCTCAAAGTCAGCTTTCAAAGACAATTCCAAGAACATAATCAAACAAGGAAAGATATGCACCGACAGGGAGAGGCCTGCTTCCTGAACCATATCCGGAGGGAAAACAATGCAGACTAGAAAAGAAATATTTTCAAGCCCAAACTTTAAATGTAAATTCTCTGCATAAAGAGCTACCTTTAGAATTCTGAACAGGAATTTTCTTTTAAGTACAGCAAAGCTCTTTTGTCCCTTTTACAAATGTATTTGGCCATTTTTCATATTTCAAAGGCATTACATCTGCAGGTTAGAAATAAGAGCCATATAGAATGCTTCCATGAAGAATCCATTTAAACTCTGCTGCCCAGTGGCTGTACTCACGGCCCCATCACTGGCCTCTCTGGGTCTCTGCCCTTTGCTCTAGAACTCTGTCCTTTCCCTCTGACTCTGCGCTGGGCTCAGCTAAGTGACTTGCTTTGGTTGATGGGATGTCGACATGTGGTTTGACACAGATGCCTCAGGAAACGTATGCCCACCTCTTAGCCTTCTGGGAACAGAAGACCCCAGCCGCTGGCAGGAAGGTGGGTACAAATAGTTCCCCTTCCACAAAGTGGCTCAAACCCATGTAGCGATGCCATGGAAGAAAGGACTGGCAAGCTACTTCCATAAAAATTATAGCCAAGGAAACGGCAGGACACAGTTCTACCGCCACGCAGGGTCTGGCCATGACTCAAAATCAACTCAACAGGCGAGGCTCCTTTTGCTTTGTTCATTGCCTTGAGAACAAAGCTTGGCGGTTCAACTGGAGGAATGCTAGAGTTGAGTAGAAGTACGGAGTCTTCATGGTCAAGGCCATTGCAGACCAGCCTAAACCAAGAGACCATCCAAGACATGGCAGTGCCCTAACCACGTATACAGAGGTCTCCACTCCACCCACAGATGTAAGTGTCCGCTACAAGAATGAGCCCAACAGAGACTACGAGAATCACTCAGCCATCCACAGATACCAATGACTCTTGTCTAAGCCACTGAATTTTTGCAACATCACCATGGTCATCAATGAATGCTACAATAGTTATACTCACAGCTACCAAGAAGAGGCTGCAGAAAAAGTTAGGCTTAAATCCGATTTGTTTGGGGGCCATCAGACATAACACTGTGAATGCCCTTATTTCTATATTTAATGTTATATAAAGACTGTATACAATTAAGTGAGATAAACAAAGACTCGCTATAACACAGGGTGCGATGCATGCACAGGCATTCCTGGGGCGATGCGCTTTACTTTTCTGTATGTTGATAGTATGTTTATAGTTAGGAGAAAGTATGTACAGTCCTGTTCTTTCATAGGAAATTTTCATCTGTGCACTGCAAAGTAAAACACACAAAGCAAACAAGTTTTCATGATTACTTAAAAAGCCCATTCATAACTTACCTCGCAGATCAATATAGACCACCAGCTACTTCCAAAGGCCCTCTTCCTCCTTCCCTCTTAGGGTATGTAAACTGTCCTGCATGTGTACCACTCACTTCCTGGCATTTTCTTACTGAGATGTACACCTGGGAAGAGCTGAGTTGTGCTCACTTTTTGAACTTGATAGGTCTTATAGCCATAGGGCCATTTCAGCGATTGAGTTTATAGTCTGGATTTTATTCTCTGTGCACTCACCCTTCCGACCCACTGAATTCCCTGAAAAAGGACAACGGGATGGAGACACCAACACAGCCAGTGGGTGAATCTATCTGAGATATTTCTCTTCACTAAGAGCCAGCAAGTCAGGAGTTCAAACCGACCAGCCATGGGAATGACTGCCGGCACCCATAAATTACAGTCTTGGAAACCCGCTGGGTAAGTTCGAGTCTGTCTGACTGGTTCCCCATGAGTCGGAATCAACTTCATGGCAGCGGGTTTGGGTGGGCTTCTTCGTTTACTATTTGGTTACACGGTGGTATAGACAGCTCCTATAAGAAAGCAGAATAAATGCTCGCTTCTTTCCTCACCAACCACAAGACAATGAATTCGTTTTGCATCTTGCTCAGAGGGTGATTAACCAGTTTTCTTTTTTCCTCCCATGTTATTACCACCCCACGGGTTTATAATATTTGAAATTCTTATTTTGAAGCATAAATTCCCTTATTCTGGCCAGTGGGGGCCTCGTCCAGTTGGCTCCTGAGTGCTTCACAAGGCCGTGAGAATCCTTAGTAGAGCCCTGCTACCCGGTGTCTTAGATTTCCCAGACTCATTTTCCATGCTCCAGTTATAGTTGTTGTGTCAAGTTCATGTCAAGTAAATTCCTTAAGGAGAGTTCATAAGAACAGCATGTCCTTCTCCTACTTCTTGCATGTAGAAAGCTGTCTGTGCCCTTAGAGTTGAAGGTCAGTTTTGTTAGACCTAGAATACATAGATCCATTTCCTTTCTTTTGAGCATCTTAAATATGTTGTTCTACTTGAAATTTTTTTACACAAAGAGCTCCTGTCAAAAAGCTTAGGAACTGTTATAAGAGCCACGAGAGCGTCCAATAAAATGATTTAACAAAATAAATAAATAAGAGTTTAGGAACAACCTAATTTTATTGTTGCTATCTTTTTTTAGTTCTTTTTGCCTCGATGGCCAAAGAATATTTTTGTTAGTTTTTTTTTTTTTAATCTAATAATTTAA